AGGGGGGCGTGTTCTTCCGTCGAGGCTACTGGCGTATTTTTCAGAGCACTCGGCTTTCTACACCAAGAATAAGAATTTAATCGTTTTTTTAAACGTTAACTATCACTAATAAGTTTAAAATTGTTATTATTTATTATAATTTATATTGGCAATAATAAAAATAATTACTATGCAACGTTCACCACTCAAACGAGGAAGACCTCCATTAAACCGTACCCAACCAGGAACAAAGAAAAACCAGTCATCTTCATCAAGTTGCAAAACGATAATGGACTTTAACTTTTGCCCTGAAGAAAACCTTCAAGAAGAATGCATTGAAGAAGTGAATTATAATCGAAAATCATCGCAAACTAGTGCAAATGATACTCCAGGTGAGTCAACTACTTCTGAACAAATTTTGACTAATAAACCGGACATTTCTTTAGACACCATTACTTCCGTGCTTTGGGACAAAATATCTGATTTGATAAATACAACTAACGATAAACTCTTTAACCAAATGGTAATTATCAAACAGGAACTTGATTTTATTCACGAAAACATTCGTGAAACGAAAGAAACTCAGAAAAAAATGGAAGCAGAGATTAATAGTTTGAAGCAAGAAATAGACAAATTACAAACGGATAAAGAACTTTTACAATTTAAAATGGACTCGTTAACAAATGAACATCGTTACAACAATATAATTATGTATAATTACCCAAATCATAAAACCACTTCAAAAGCAGAAATACTCAACTTTATTACTAATACATTAAATTTACAAGATATAACTCAAAAGGATATACTTGAGATAATTCAATTATCAAAAACTTCAAACCTAATAATTAGAATCACTTTTAATAATAACCAAACGAGAGACCTCTTCTTTTCTTCATTTATACATAGAAAACAACAAAATCTTCTTGGTGATTGGCAAAATGTACAGATCTCCCCGGATATAACTATTAACTCAAGAACTAGACGTAAAAACCTACTACCAAATTTTTATGAACTACGAAAACAAAATCCCCAGGTGAAATTACGAAACGATATTTTAACAATTGAGCGAGAAAAAATAACTTACAGCTTAAGAACGGGAAAATTGGTATATGTTGATACGTTTCTCCCTTCATCAGGAATAACGACTTCATCTAAATGACAGATCAACAAGAGAGAGAAAACTCAATACTGCANGATGTGTAGTTTTGGCGAAAAAGTGAAATATAGGGACATACATGTCCATTTATATATATAGATAGATATAGATATAGATATAGATATAGATTTATTTTGTTAATTTGTGATAATTATCGTATTCGAAATTTACATTTGTTTTTAATAAATTTGAATTTTAACAATTTCTCGGAAAATGTAATAGTGTTTGACAAAAATAACGAAAATATTTGCCTGTTTAGATATGTTTTTCAAAAATATCTACGAGAAAATTTATTTTAACAATATTTAACGTAAAAATCTATTTTTACAGTAATAATTGTCAGGAATTTCATCCTACGTCGATCTTAAATAGTTCAGGTGGAGATAAAAGTTCCCCTATCATGCTCTAAAGACATTTTACAGCTAGCGGTCATTGGAGATAAACTCACTAGGACGATGGACATTACACTTAAACTGAGGAACCTCTAACTGGTCCAATCAGAAATCTTTTAGCAGCCTTCAGGTCCGATTAATGCAGTCAATTGTAAGTTGTTTTGCCATGTTTCTTTATTGTTACTAACGACTATAAAACGCAAATAACATCACCAAAACGGCAAACATCACATCTGAAAGGATGTAACTCCTGAAAAGTCTCAGGCTAAAAAATTGCGTTTATATTAACATTAGTGCCTATAACATGGGTAAACCTTTTGAATTGGAATCAACAATAGTTTGACAATAAAAGGGATAATTTTCATTGAAGAAGTTGCGACGGATAAAAGAGACTGTACTGATACATTACAGGAAGTTCCCAAGCTTCATCAAAGAAATGACAAAAGGAGAGTTAAAATATCAGCCTAACGATTCAAGTTTAATTTAATTAATATTCAAAAAATGAAGTGACAGCGTCACTTTGATCACAATGATCATTCTTTAATGACTGTATCACCAATAAACTCTTAAAACTGAGCTTTGGGAATATCAAAAATTAGCGATACGAGTACATTTAGCTTATAATAAATTTGAAACGTTCTGTTCAAGATTTTCGGCCATTTTGAGTATAAACTTAATTTGAAAAATTATTTAAAAAAGTTATAAGTTTTCAATAACTGCTACAAAAGCTAAATTATTAATTTTTTATAACGTAAGCAAAATAAAAAAAAGATTTTTATTTTGATTACGTTATAAAAAATTGCGATTGACCAACATTGTGTTCAGTTTTATTCGTTATGTCAAACATGAACAAAAGTGAACAGAGTGTTGGTTGTTCACATTAACCTGA